TCTGCTCTGCTGTTTCTGCCCTTCATTTCTCTTCTGCTGCATCCATCTTTCTTTAACTTGCTTGCCTCACTTAGGCAACAAATCAGCTAATTGCTGTAATTTATTCAGACTGATTACCCCTATCAGTATCTTGAGAAAGACTGACTCTGAGCAAGGTAGGGGAGCAGCTTCTGCGTTGCGTAGGTTGTTTTGGTTATCTCTGGTTGTTAAAGTGACTGCATCCAGTATATTACTAAAAATGCAAAATCTGAAAATTCAAACACTGTGTTGGCATACCTTTTGATTGTACGTGTCATGCTCAAGTGTCAAATATAACGTTAAGTATTAAGTGATTGTTGACAGTATGGATGGTGTAGGTCTTCAGTGCGTGTTGTTTCAGGTTATGACCAGAAATTAAAAAAGGAATTTGTCTTAGGTCAATTCTGGCCACTGTACAGCTTTTGCCTTTAATTGTACAGCTACTTTAGTATAAATACTGGATAAAAAAGAGAGAAGGTGGAAATCGTCCTTTGAGTGTCTTCAGATCAAGGGCTGAACAACTTGTTAATTATGGGGTTGTATTTTATGTAGTTTGTCCCAGTTATTTAGGGACAGACATTGGAGTGCACAGTTAAGTTGTCTTTATTTGGAGGTGCGGGCAGAACATTAAAATGTAGATCTGATCCCCGGTGAAACTTGTCTGTTTGTTTGGTTATTAGTTTTCCCTCTAAGGCTACAGATAGTCAGAGTTCACAAGGTAATTTGAAAGCATGAAGAAATCTCTTAGCAGTCTTGTTTGTGCTGTTGGACAACTTGCATCATCTCAGTTGGCCAAGTACAGTCCTTTTTTTTTTGTTTTTGTTTCCCTTCCCCATCTTCATCCAGCACTGAGGAATTAAACCTGAACAGTATCCTTCTCCTTTCCCCTTTTTTTTTTTTTCAGATGTCTTATTTTCAGTCACTCTGAGGTTTTAGTTTTTCTACTGCTGTGTAAATCCCTGAGGTTAAAACACAGGTTATCTGCATGAGTTTGGTTGTGATACAGAAAATCTAGTAAAAAGAAAAAGCAGTACTAGTAGTCTACTCATGAATGGATTTGCTGTGCTTTAATTTTCAAAACCATAACTATTTTTTTTTAGTAGTAGTAAAAATAAACAGATTTTCTTAAAGTATTTCCCTGATACTAATTTTTTTACCTTTTTATCTAAAAAAAGCGAGTAGGTCAAGCCTTTATTTGAAAGCATGCATGGCAGCTTCTGGTTAGAGTAATCAAGCTTTTAGTTTTGAAAATTAGGACTCTTTCCTCTCTAGAATTCTGATATTGGTATGACAACTGTACTTCTAACTCTTCAGAATTGTGTTGGTCAACTACAGTTGTGTTAAGTGTAACGTGGGGGTGATGGGGTGAAAAGAGGGCTGGAAATTATGCTGATGCCATATAGAACAGTAATGCTCAAGCAATTGTGTGATACCATATGGAGTCTTTTCCGGAGAATTGTAAAACAGAGCACTGAGACTCATCTTTGAGGAAGCAGCAGTGGGTGGTCTGTAGAAGGAACTTATTATAAATGGTCTGCATAAAATGAACTTGTGGGAATTGCTTTTTTCTTCATCTCACTTAGGAAGGCACTATTGAGTTCACTTGGTGTAACTCAGTTCCTGTTGGGGTTTTTTGTGATGTCTCTAATGTAAACAATAGTTGCTTTGAAAGGTGGTACAGTACTGCTCCACAAGAATTGTCTTGTGTATTTTATGTCTATATAAACTTTAGCTGACTTGGGTAATGGTCTTGTCTACTTGTTTAGGGGAAGTGAGCTATCCCTTAAAACAGGACTGCTTGAAACTTAATGCTGCGGTGATGCTTTGTGATCTTTTACTGTGAAAGTATCATTTGTTTCCCTTGCTCTGTGTATTTATCATCTTCCTGTAAGAACCTGCTGAAGAAAGTATCCTTTTTCTCTCATATTTTTGAAAAAGCTTATGGAAGCTACTGTTGATAATGGATGACATTATGTAGGAACATAAGGTTTGGTTGTTTCCCTTGTCTCTACCAGCTTCCTTCCATTATCGTTTGCAGTATAATTGATCCTTAAGCAAGAGCTTAGATGCTAAATCCTCTGCTTGCATTGTGTTCTCTTTTAGTACTGTAACATCGCTTAGCCCAGCTTTTGGCTTCTGGTGTTTTTCTAGACCCTCTGAGTAAAAGAGGGTCTTTCTTGGTACAGCACAGGAAACTGTAAAGCAGCTAAATTAAGTTAGCTTTTGTTTTGCAGGTAGTTTAGAATGGGTGTAAAGTATATATCTACGCATTAAAATATTGTGCTATGTTGTATGTATTAGATTGGAGGACTGAGGGGGCAAGATACAAAGGGTCTGTATCCCACCTCCATCTTTTCCAGAATTTAAGGTACTTTCGTTTCAGTTTTCATCCAAATCAGGTTTTGTAGCTTTTTTTTTTTTGTTTTCTACTCCCTTCATGACTAGAGAAACCATCCATTGGTGGTGGTTTTCTTTTGGAAGTAATTATTGCTTAAATAGTGTGATATTGTTTGTGAATTTAATTCCCAGTAATGCGATGTGAACCATTGTGTCACATGAATATATTTAAAGTCCTTCAACTTTCTGATTGTCTTTGACACCTTTCATAAATGCTTCATTACCATTGCAGATGAAAACGTTCCCTGTTGGCAGTCAGGTTATGCAGCATAATTTAACATATGATTAAACTTCAGAATTGTTACAAACTTAACTCAGTATAAATCAAACAAATAGTCCTTCACAGCTGTGTGTCATGAGTGAAGTTGTCATGCTTAGGTAGTTCTTAATTTTCTCAGCACAGATAAGCGTTTTGTTTCTAAAGTTGTAACGGTGCACATCGCCAGGGTGCACTGCACTGGAGACTGCATACACGCTAGTGACAAACTTGAACAGCTCTTACACTGAATCTTAAACTGTTGTGTTGTACCACTTTTTTTAAAAGGAGGAAAAAAAGCAATTTAGTAGAGATTTTTGTGACCTGTGGGAGACTACAAAAACACCATTTAGATAATCCAGATTATTTGTTGAGGTTACCCTGTTTGTCAATGTATTCTGGGGGACCGGAGAAAAACAAACAGTGCCCCAGACAGTGTCACCACTAAAAACTTTCTTACAAGCTGAAAAATGTGATGTCATGACATAAGGCACACATCGGTATGTCAGATTATATTTTTCTTTCCTAAATTAGATGTAAAGCACATTGGAAACAGTAGGAGCTAGGAGATTCTGCCTCTGAGAAGTGCTCTGCAGTGGACTGATGCATGATAATACGCCTTTGTGTAAGGCGCTGACCCCCTAAACCTTGGGAAAACAAAACAAAAAGCGCCTGAATCATGTGTGTGGATATATTCCTGTGTGGTGGTTTTAATGATTTCCAGCTTTGCTGGAAGGAAAAGCTATTACCATTTGTGTAATAGTTATTGAACTGTTATATTTTGCTAGCCTAGCAGAATATACTAGGCTGTATGATTTTGGTTTATTTTAATGCACTAATTCTAAGATATAAGATATATTAGTCTGGTTGCTGCTATATAAGCAACAGAGTTGTCTGTGCATTGAGGTTAACAAGAAAACTAGAATAGGAGCTGACCACTGTGATTCAAAGTAAGGATTAAGATAAGTGGTAGAAAACAAGATGTGGCAGTTGATGCTTCTCTCCTGATGCTATTCCAGTGCCTTGCAGCATTACCTTCAAAATCTGCTTGTGTGTAACCTTTGTACTGTGTGTTGCTGATACTTAAAGCATTTTTGTACTTGAGTGCTGACTTCAAAATGCAGTCCTGAAAAATTTTTGCGGGAAAAAGTGTGTCTTTGTATGGCAAAGCATTTCTCTGCTGTAGAATGTGATATTTCTAGAAAAAAATGCAGCATCAAACAAAACACTGTCCCAGTAAAAAGTAAGCCTTGTGAGCATGACGTTGAAATAATTTTTTGACAGTGTGATTGGAGAAGATTTCAGAGTTAGTCTTAGTGCTTGTAAAAATACTCTGAATTTCTGTTGATCATAATGATGAAATTGTCACGGGACAAATTGCTCTAGAACAGCAAGGGTGCAAGAGCGAGGGGACCCAAATTTCCAGTTGGGGTCTAGACAAGGTTATAGTTTCACTAAGTACTGTTGAAGCCTTTGGTCCTGTTACTGCCAAACATTATAGTACACAGATGATCTTCCAGTTTTTCTACATTTGATCATTGTCTCTTTTTTTTTTTGATGTGACTTTGGAATTATTTTGTGAGGGTTCAGGTTTCATGTCTTGTGGGGGAAAAGATATGTATATCCCTTGTGCTTTTGCCATTTCTCATGCTGATTTTGAAGAGATTGAAATGTTGGAGTTGGGGTTGTTTTGGTTTTGTGTGTGTGTGGTGTTCTTCCGGAAAAATATTTCCAAGGAGACTTAGCTCTGTGAAGTTCAGGATATTATTTTTTTTAAGCTTTTTCAGTATATCATGGGAAATGTAAAACAAAAGAATAGTGTAAGACAAAGTGAGTTAACCAGACCTTGAATAGCTTTTGCTCCTTTGAAATTTAGGACTGCTTTTCTCTTTAAAAGTACCTTTCCAACTGTCAGTACCTTTTAGAATTACCTTTACGAGTACATTTACCTAGAGCAGGTTGGGGGATTGAGGGGAATGAAGAGAAAAACAAAGAGAAAAACCCACTGAATTTGCTACGGTCTCTAACGTGCTTTGTCTTGACCATCTCAGTTACTAGCAAGTTAACTATGCACAGAAATGAAAATAATACACTACCAAGGAGTACGGTAAAGGAAATGATTTGCATGGTCATGTGTACCATGAGGAATACTACTGGAATTTATTTTTCCACTGGAAATAATCTTTTACTGTTAGTTTTTCTTGTAATCTATCTTGTCTTATAAGGATGTTCAGCATTGCAGGATCAGTGTTCTCCTCAAGGGAAGGATAAGGGAAATATAATTAACTTTTTTTTTAACTTAAGCTAAAGAGACTTTTTCTTTGTTTAGCTTAGAGCAATAAATGTAGATCTCCAGAGTGATGCTGCTCTGCAAGTGGATATCTCAGATGCACTCAGTGAGAGGGACAAAGTGAAATTCACTGTCCATACAAAGGTAAAAGCCTGGGTTTGTACACTGAACATTTTCTTAATTATACAGAAAAGAATGTTTGCTTAAACTGTTTATTGAAACGAGTGTAACACAATCCAAATGGAATGAGAAAGTCGCATTTTCTCATGTTTAAGAGACTCTGTAGCTGTAGCGCTTAAGAAAAAGATGGCTAAAAAGTTAAGAGGTTAAAAAACTGTTTAGAAAAAAGCCATGTTCAGGTTTTTGTACTGATGCCATTCCCATGCTTATTAATTGGCCTGTTCATAGGTAGAATCTTTAATATACCTCAATATTCTCCTGTATAGTTTTTTATTAGATTAGCCATGATTTCAGATTCTAAAAATATGTTTCCTAATGGAATTACATTCAGGAATCATTTTTAGCTACTGCTTGTTTATGGCTTTTCTTTTTTTTTTTAGATTTGAATGTTTATTGATCATAGAATCACAGAATAGTTGAAGTCGAATAAGATTTATGGAGATCATTTAGTCCCATCTCCTCCCTCACTCCCACCATTAAATTAGGGTGAACCAGAGCACATTGCCCAGGAGTTGTCCACTTGGGTTTTGAATATCTCCAAGGGTGGAGACTCCTTAACCTCTTTGGGCAACCCATTCCAATTGACTGCTGCACTAATTATGATGGGGCTAATTACTGCTGTACAAACCTTTTTTTTTCCTCTTGTCAAGTCCTAATTTGGATGATTACATTATTTTAAACAGCTATGTGTTTGTTGTTCCTTCAAGATGTTTTTCATATAGTAATGAAAAATGATGTGGTTTTTTGTTTTGGTTTCACGGGGAGCGAGAGGGGTTGGTGTTTGTGGGTGTGTTGGTTTCTTATTTTTTTTATTTTATTTTATTTTTTCCATTATTCTTTCTGCTTTATTCCTTCTAGAGTTCCTTACCAAATTTCAAGCAAAATGAATTTTCTGTTGTCCGGCAACATGAAGAGTTTATTTGGCTTCATGATTCTTTTGTTGAGAATGAGGACTATGCTGGCTATATTGTAAGTATTACAGTTCTTTTGTTTTATGTGCACTGTTTTCTGTGGGCTGTATCAGAATTACTTGTGACTGCTTTTAAATGCAATGGAAACAGCAGATGTTCATTCCTTCTAAAATCAGATCAGATGCTCTAATACTCTATTTTATGCAATTACACAAAATTAATGGTTGCAGTCAGAGCAGAGTTACTGTAGTTGCCATACTTCCTTGTCTGTTACTCCTAAGGAGTGAGTAGTTTAATCTATATCCAAATGTGTTTTTAGTCCACTGTGTTAAAAGTGTGGGAGATAAGTGAACTGTATAACTTGGTGGTAGTGTTTTTGAAAGCTAATGTTTGACTTAGTTACAAGTTGTATGTTGCCTTTGTTTTAGCTGGAATGGCAGAGTGCAGTCACTGAGTTCTAGTAACCAGACTTGTCCAGTTTTCATTACGAAGATCAGAATCAGTTTATCATAAATCAGTTATGTGGGGGGAAACACTGCAAATACCATCTAGAACTACAGAGGACCTTAATACACAACAGCTTAGGTTTTGAACTTTACTTTAGGCCTCTGGGGAACAGAGGTGCCAAAATAGTCGCCTTACAGTACTGCCTATTAAAAATGGGTGCTGCTGTTCATACTTTTAATTTCAAATAGGAATATTTGCCATCTTGGTGTGAAAGTTAGGTATTCATTTTGTGCTTGGGGAGATGCCTTCTGATTCAGAAGGCAAACATACTTTTCTAATTGACTAGTGGGTACATCATGATGAATGCAAACTGTGATGTGTCCTACCATTCTCGAGCTAGTCTTTTTAGTTAGAAAAGCTTTTGAAGTGACTAGACCTTCAGTGTGGTCATAGCTGGTTTCACACAGTTGACTGTGTAGATGCTGTTTTTTTCTTTTTTGTGATGCATTAATTCAATGGGCAAATATCAGTGAACTAAAATTTAAGCACAGTTTTAGCTTTGTTCTGTGTCCCTTTACTGATAGCAATTCAGGATTAGTTTGACTACAGTGTTTTCTCTTTCAATGTTAGTATACTGTATTACAAGATTAACGTAGAGACTTGTTTACTGTGTGCTTTATTTCAACAGAGGTATCTTTAATGTCAACAGTGCTGCAAGAAAGAACTAGTGCCTGCAAACAATATGGGATTTTTTTCTTTGTTTTAAGATTTGGAGAGTTATAAATGGATGGTGTCAAAACAATTGTGGAATTCTTTTTTTTCTTTAAACAAGAAACAATCCTTACCGAATAAGCTAAACCAAAACTAATTATAAAACAAAGATTTCAAGTTTTAATTCGTTGTATTGGGAAAGCTAGGTACTATTTGGTTTCTGTTGTAATTAAACTACTGAAGCCATTACTTAATTCTTCGGTAATCTTCCAGGACACTTGCCCAAAATTGGTATAGCGATGCAGCATGTCTAACTCATGAATGAGAGAATGTATTAATAAATGCTGTAGTGAATGATGAAAGAGAGAGCCATATATTAAAAAGCTGCAGGCAGTCTGCAGTTCCTGTACTGAATAGATGTTGTTTGACTGAGAAGAGGAGAAGTTCTAAAAAGTTTGATTCAATTCCAGATTCCACCAGCACCACCCAGGCCTGACTTTGATGCCTCGAGGGAGAAACTGCAGAAACTTGGAGAAGGGGAAGGATCAATGACTAAAGAAGAATTCACCAAGATGAAGCAAGAACTGGAGGCGTATGTAGACTTGATTACTACCTTTTTTGTTGTTTGTTTAATCCCTCAACTTTTAATACTGTTTGCTGTCCCAAGTTTCTGCTTTCACTGTGATGGTTCTCTGCAAGATGTAGCCTTGAGAATCCAGTTGCTACATAAACAGGATTATCTTAGTGATCATGATCAGAGCCATTAGGAAAATTGTAGAAATAATTTAATGGAAGGTCTTCTGAAACAGGAAAAAAAAATCAGCTTGGTCTTGAGCATTCTTTTATGAGGAACAAACACTAGTTAGGTCTTTTTCTTCACAGAACACCTGCAAAGGGAGGAGGTAACTTTTATCTTTTTTTAGTTCTGGTGTTCCACATTAATAAGTGTAATGAAACTTTTAAGGTTTATACATGAACTAGTAATTTTTGTGTGTGGTTGGTACTGTAAATGTAGATACCAACCTTCTGTTTCCCAAGAAATATGGAGATTACTGGAAAATACTTTTTTTTACGCTCCCTTTTTTTTGCACAAGGAGAATATACTTCCTGAAAAGAGTATTTTCCCTTACTGTGAATTTAATGTGTATTGAAATATCTGCTTTAAGGCTTTTTGTTCCATATTGAGTTACACAGTGAAGTTTCTCCTTGCTTCATCCACTTTCCTTATCATGCATTCACTTCTTTGATCTTTTTCCTGTCATTGGTTTCAGTTTTCAAGTGTATATTTACGCTGTTTCTAGACTGCTTCTATCAAGAGCTCTGAATTGGCAAGAAAAGTACATAGAACTCTCAGAACTGCTGCTTTCTCTCCGAACTCCAGCTGCTGTGAGCAAAAGTCTTAAAAGGCTCTGTATTGGTGTTAATGTGCAACATAATTTATAGCAGAGTAGATATACACTTCATATGCAGAAAACTGGAAATTAGCAAAACACTATAGATTTTAAAGAATCTGTGGTTTTCCAGCGGCCCTGATCATGATTCTCTTGTGGTCTGGTTAGGGGTTGGATAACACAGAAAACTTTGGGTTTCTTCTACTGCCACCTCCATCCTCTGCATCCTCCTTTTTTGTCTTCACTGAATGACTACTACTCTCACTGAGATCAAACATCTCCCAACACTGGCCCTGCTGGTTTGCTGGTATGTAAAACTTAACCTCCTTGCACATAGTGGAAGCAAAAGTGTTGATTATCATTTCACTGTTTGGCCTGAGAATGGGGAAAATATCTCCTTCCTCATTTCTAGGCAAGTGACATCTTATTCAATGAATTTGCAAAGCAAAATGAGTTCTAGAAAACTTGTATTGAGAAGTATGCCTACCTCTTAATTAAATAACAAATTGCTTTGAAGTTGAGTTGTCTGAACTGGGCAGCTATGCGATTGTCATGGTTAAATGTGGTTTTATTTTGGTTGTACCTACCAAACGCAGCACTTAATTTCACTTTTAGAACCACTATGAAGCAAGACATCCACATAAGCTTCAGCCCAAAAAGGCTAGGTGCTTTAACATGGAATAAAAGACTGCTGTCTAAAGAGCTAACAAAACTACATGAACATATAAATAAGTAAGGAGGGTGCAAATAGGCAAGGGGATGGAGATGGGGAGGAAGGAATTTTCACATCAACTACGTAGTACCTAGTGACTGTAGACTGTATCTCAATTTCTTGATTTTTGGGGAGCTGGGGAAAAGACAATTAAACGAGGTTACACTTTCAGCAAACCAGTCTGTGTTAGCTAGCCTTAAAAATTAGAATGTATTTGTTCCGTCTTCATTAGAAGTCTCTCTGATATGTTAAGGCTTCAAATTTCCCCATAGTATTAACATTGTACTATTTATTTATGTGTATATCAGATATCAGGGTGATAACCTTTACTGTATCAGCTTATGATTTTGTATCCTTACTGAGCATCGCTTAAAGCTGCTCACTAGGGTTATCTCAAACTTAATTGCTTCACATGAAATTCTTATGTCAGTCTTTTTGTTTGTTTGTTTTTCAGTGAATATTTGGCAATATTTAAGAAGACAGTTGCAATGCATGAAGTGTTTTTATGTCGCGTGGCAGCGCATCCTATTTTGAGAAAGGATTTAAATTTCCATGTATTCTTGGAATATAATCAGGACGTGAGTATTGAAAACTTGAATTGCTGGCAACAGAAATCAAGATGTACTTTATGGTAGGATGGAAAATTGATTAAGCAGGCTTTACCTCCTGGAGCAAATTGCATCAATTCCTTCATACCAGACGTATTTGTATTGTAAAAGTTAGAAATTAATTTAATCTGTACGAGTTCATTTTGCTGCCACTTGGAAACCAAATGCACTATGTTCTCTAGCCTCAGCATCAAAAGTATTAATGGAAGTCCAATATGTTTTGGATTAAAAAGATTAGCTTTTGATGGTGATTTCACATGACGTTATACTTGTCCAGTCTGATTTATTTTTAAATTTTTTTTTGTGCGGGGAAGGATGATGCAACAAAGCCGGAATGCTGATTTTTAGGATTTGGAGCTGTGGTTTAAATGCCATTGCTAATGAAACTAGTGAGATTTTTAATGAAATGTTCTGATCAGTAAAGCCTTTTTGCTAATAATGTAGGTGAAAATTTGGTTAGGGTGTTGGGTTTTTTGGGGTTTTTTATGCGGAAAAGCCATATCAGTTCAACATGTTACATACTGAGTTGCTCTCTAATTTTGAGTTAATGGAGAGAACTTTCTGGATGAAAACTCTGATGTTGGCATTAGTGGTTGCCCATATTTTGCAAACAGTTTTTAGTTGCTTTTTAAAATTGCAGAAATCAGCATTGAATGTTGAAGGAATCATTACAAAGACTGGCTCAATTGATAACATGCTTAACTTCAAAATATGGTACAGAGGATCCTCTTGTTGCGTGATGTAGAAATGCTTACTGGTTCAAGAACTCAGTTTACCTAAATTGGGCAAATTTAGATGGGCATGAAGAATGTGAGGAGGCTGAAACCAACATTATCCTTAATTCAGTGAGGGATAAATGCTTCCGTGGTTTCTGAAAGACAAAGATCTGCTACTCTACACTTAAGAGTAAAACCTGTTTATATTAGATAAACTTAATAGCTATACTGTGCTTGATAATTACGGTGTTATTGATAACTGAAATGTACACCTTGTACTTTTGGTATTATCTGTAGGTGCTAGAATATTGCTGATTTCCCCCCTGCCCCAGGAATAGCATTTTAGGTGATACAGAAGAGTCTAGTAAATGAGGCAGTCTGTCATTCTGGGTGCATGGTGCCTGTCCCCATCGATGCAGAGTACAAGATAAAACAGAGAGCAGGAAAACTGGTTTAGGAGTAGCAAGTTGTGGAATGTAGCGCTATTTTTTTAAAAGCTTTTATTGCCTCCAGAAAGTGAACTAACTTGATAAATGAATTTGTTTTTCAGTTGAGTGTTCGTGGCAAAAATAAGAAAGAGAAACTTGAAGACTTCTTTAAAAACATGGTTAAATCAGCAGATGGTGTAATTGTTTCAGGAGTAAAGGTGATTACTGCTTAACATACCGAGATTTAAAATGTATTAACATTGTTGTCCCCTTTTTTTAATGAAGCAGAATTTTACATAAAGGTGCACTAGGTTTGACAGATGCTGCAGTTCAGAAGTTACTAACACAGTGTGAATTTTGCCAGCCTTGTAACATCCTTCTGCTGTTTCAAAGCTAAGACCAGCAGTACAGGTGGTACTGTTTTCCCCAGTAGGTGCAAGAATGTAACTGAGACCAAGAAAAGAGTAAAATAATGAAAATTCAATTTCATTTTGACTTTTCCAAAAGTTGAAAGGTTGGTTTTATAACAAGCATAAATTCTGCAGAAGATTACTTTGATCTCCCTTCTTTGGTAACTTTCTATTTGCAAGCAAATTAGAGGAGCTAAAGTTTCTTGTTGCAAAATTTTGAGTTTTGAAACTGCTGGTAAGTGGATATAAGCATGGATTAATTGTGACTTGGAGAAAAATGTAAAGTCCAAATAACCAGCAGTTTTCATAAGCACATTGTTCAAAGCCCATGTTGTAGGCTATTTCATGGTATTGTGGATCTGTGCTATTTTAGAGAGTTTTAATAAATGAATATAAACCAAATATCTCAAATTGTAATACAGAAAATACTAAAATTTACTGACATTTACCAGCTTGAAAGATATCAGCATTCCTGAGCTAGGAGTTTGTTGTCTCTGCTGTGACCACAGCATCTCTGCAACTGGTTGTCTGTCTTCTCCCGTCACCTTTTACTAGGTAGATGTCCTTTTATTCTGTTTTTCTGTCACCAAAGGGATAGTTAGTAGTGAAGTTATTTCCTTCACTTCAGGTTTAGTTCTCTAGACCTTTAAGGTGCTTGTTGCAAATTCTTAATTCGTAATAAATCTTCAGGTCATGGTAAAAAAAGAAATCTGTTTACATAAATGGTATTTTAGACAATAAAAACAGATTGCATTTCATGTCACTAAACCATGACAAGTATATGCAGATTTACTTTGCAATTGGTCTGTATGGACGGAGTGAAACCCTGTTTCTGAAATTGTTTTTGGTTTTTGTAGGATGTGGATGACTTCTTTGAACATGAAAGAACATTCCTTGTGGAGTATCACAACCGAGTCAAAGATGCCTCTGCCAAATCTGATAAAATGACAAGATCACATAAAAGTGAGTTCATTTTCCAGGGTGAAAATGGTGCTAGTTCAAGTGTAGAGAAGTGGTTCATGAGGAGCAGTGATTTTCAGTTATGCTTCATAATAAGTGACATGGTTGAACTTATATTTCTGCTTTTGTGTTAATATAGATTCCTTTTAGAAAAACACCCCCGCTTGGAGAAAGAGTGGGACTTCAAAGTTTTCAGAAAGAAGTGAAATGAAATAGTAAAACAAGTCCTTGTTTGTTTTTTCTAGATGTGGCGGATGACTATAATAGAATTGGTTCTTCATTATATGCATTAGGAACGCAGGACTCCACAGATATATGCAAGTAAGATATTGTTAATAACTTACGGGGGAATTTGCTAAGTAGCAATCTTAATGGTAACCTGCTGAGATTGGTAGCTCACTTGTTATGAGAAAAACAATTTATTACAGTTGTATCACAGTAAGGGGTTTTCTTCTCTAGTATTTAATTTCTGTAACAGGCTGCTTTAATATTTTTGCTTTAATGTTTGGAAAAATACGCTGTTTTCTGCAGTTTGTAGAAAATCACACGGACAAGATGAAAGTCCTCATAGAATAAGAAAAAAACCCCATCTCTTGCCCCATTTTTTTTCAAGTGTTTCAAGTGATTTTACTTGTGCAGCAAGAACAGATACCAGTCTGACTACACTGATTTTTGTGGGTGTTCCCTGTACCAGCATCTTGAAAAAGGTCTTTCCTGTTCTGGAAATTTTACTGCCTTTAGGAAAAGAAAGGCATCTACAAGATCCCTAAAACTTTGAAAATAGAAGAGGTTCTTTATGTACAGATGTTAGGCCTTTAATCTCTGTGATTTTCTTGAATACAGAGTTGGTGTATATGAAAGTAAAACTTAATTCACTGGCTTAAAGATGTTGCTGCTTGTGAATATGTACACTTATCAGGGTCAGTGCGACGACAGGTAGGAGATGAGTATGAAAGTTAACTTATTTTTTATTGATTTACATGAATTGCAGTGATACACTTCCAAATGTGGTGATAGCTTACATATTGATTATTTTGATTGTGATACTGAGATTTGATGCAGTCTGCTAGGGCTGGTCAGGAGTCGCATCTGTCTTCTGTCAGAACAGTGTGGTTTGACTGTAATTCAGTCTGCTGTTACGCTGAATCCATGTGTTATCTCCTGGGACGATGATGTGCCGCACTGTTGCTCAACCTCCCTGAATTCAAATTAGGGCATGTGTCATGTTTACTGTGTGAAGGAAAGTACATTCAAATTTGAGTGAAGAACTCTTGATAATAGCGTAGGACAATTAACCAGGGTGGTGGTGGTTGGGGTTTCAGAGGAGTGTAAAGAATCCCTGAGGAGCTGTGCAATTATTCTTTAGTAAAACCATCCATCCCTTTTGCTTTGTTTGTCACTTACCTGAAGCTGTACGATTCTCAGATGTTTGAAGTGCTGCAGTTTGAAACGATTATGTTCGCTGAGCTCTGTGAATTACAATTCTAACCAGTGCCTTTACAGCATTTATTGCCAGACACAGATTATATTTTGAGTTCTAGAAAGTAATTAGACTTTTCAAATTAATGTTGTAATATGAGGTGTTTCCTTTGTGCAGGTTTTTTCTGAAGGTATCAGAGTTATTTGACAAAACAAGGGTATGTACTGTGAAACTTTTTTAGATATGTTCTTTGTGTACCTTCTGGAAGTGGCAGGACATCTTGTGTCAGTTAGTCATTAATATGTGGATGTTTTATGGATGCTTCTATGTGAAGCATTTAAGTTAATGTGTGGTAGGGAATGAAAAAGTGTAAGATTTCAGTCTGGTTTTTAAAATAATTGTTCCTTAGGAGTCTTCAGCCTATTTAAACATTTTTAGGCTGTCTGCTATGTAATACACTAGTAAGGCTGCTGTTCCACTGAAATGCTCAGAGGCCTTCCGTGCCTGTTGCTGTGTTCAACTTGTTATGGAAAAAAGAAATGTAATCCTTAATCCAAAGAATGGCAGCCGTGCTGCTTTTTTCTGGAGCCAAGATCTGTTTCTGCAGTTGTTTGACTCAGAAATACTATTGCTGATGCTCCTAACCAGATTATCAAGTGTCTTGTCTCTTTTGCCTTACTTGTTTGGCTTGGTAGAGCAGAAGATGCATGCCATGTATCAGGAAAACTTTAGAATGAAAAATACGTGCATTTCCTAAACAAAGACAGTAATATCAGCATAACTACGTACTTAACAGAAAATGCAGTTAATGGAATTACTTGCTTTGACCTAAAATGCTGCCTTCTATTTTTTCTGTCTTTTAAATTAAGATTTTTAAAATGCACTTGCAGACTCTCTTTCTAAATTCACAGAAATGTGCGATTTAGATACAAATAAAAGTCTTTTGGACCATTTAATACGTGCAGTTACACAGGTGCTGCAAAGGTGCTTTAAAAATTTGTTTTCCTTTGATCTGAAAAACAGCACAAAACTTCATGTGCAACTTTTTATACTAAATAGGTTTTTGCTTTTCTGCTGGTTTTCTAGTATCTGATAGAATTGAAATTGGGAGGAAAGCATTGTTTAAAACAGAAAGCAAGTTGTCAGTTACTTGTTGCATCATTGGTTATTGCTTACACTTTAATACAAAATCCTAATACTGCTTCTCATGATACATCTTTAAGTTTTCTGTCACAAATACATGGTCTTAGTTTTTGAAAAAGATAATCTGTCATGTACTGTTGTATATTTTATGATGTATTTGTGTCATACAAGTGAATACCCAGAGTCTGGATGTTTTTAAACTGATGCTTTTACTTACTGTTTTTCCAGAAAATAGAGGCCCGGGTATCTGCTGATGAAGATCTTAAACTTTCTGATCTTCTGAAATACTACTTAAGGGAATCTCAAGCTGCTAAGGTGAATTTACCGGTTTTTGTTCAGTGAAATAGTGTTTCTTTAAAACAAAACAAAAAAAGAGATAAGGGATCATCTTGAGAAATGCACAGTAGCCAGGTAAAAATGCTGCCACCTCTAGGCTGCAATTTCTCCTTCAACTGTAAAACCTGGGTCTCTGTTGTACATAAGGAGTAATAGTGCAGTTGCTGACTGTGAGACTGCCTGCTCGAAACTGTAATGATCCACTTACCGAGGCCACATCGTGCAGTATAATTAAAAACAGTGGAAGAGCTGTTGGTGAATTGTTCATGTGTTGGCAATGTGTTTGCTGCTTGCAGACTGCAAGCATTCTGCTTTTTTTATATTAAAGTTGGATACTCTGGGTAATCTGCGGGTGCTTATACAAAAACACATGGGCCAAATTTGATATTCTGTAACTACAGAAAATTTTATTCTTAGTGTTGTTTGATACAAGATGATTAAGTAACGTGACAGAATGAGGAAGCATTTGACAGAAAAGGTCCATCAGTAGAAGATCACAGCAATAACTGTTGCACAAAAAAATGCTGCTGCTGTTTCTTGAGACCTGTGTGTATTTCAAGTAATCTAAATATAGGTTGTTTCTAATCTAAGCTGTGAAATTTCCCGTGATCGCCCCTTCTTAGGCTTTTTGGAGTATCATCTAAACCATCTGGTGCTCATCTCAGTCAGACAAGATGCAGACCAAACAATATTAAATTGCAGGTCTGATT